CGCAAAAGTTACTTTTGCTATTTGCTTCATAAAGCCACTTCTTCTTTTTGAGATGTAGACAGCTTTTGCTTTTCTCTTAATCGCTTATCCTATATTCCTCTTTCTGTCATTACCTCCTTAATTCCTTTCGGTTGACCCCTTTTTTTTTTGTCTGAATGATTTAATAGAAAAACCATTTCTTGAAACGTGCCATCAAAAATCGACCAGGGCGTATTTTGGGTTGTTTACCACCATAACCAACATTCATTCTGTTTACTATTAATGCATCTTCAGCGAAGTCTCCATAGCTGGAACTGTTATCAAACCCAAAAACCAATATCGTATCTGGAAGTGCAATTTTCAAAATGTCAATTGCCCGTTCAAATTGCTTAGCTAGCAATTGAACATTCCAATAACCTTCATAATTCGCTCCAATTTCTAATAACTCTGTAACATAACATTTTGAAATTTTGGGGTGAGCTGCATGCTGTTCTTCAGTTAAATGAACTCGGCCCAGTGGTTCACACAAAAATTTACTAACATGAATGCACCTGCCCTGTCCTTTTTGACGTAATTTATGTTCACCTATTAATAATTAAAAAAAATTAAAAATTAAAAAAAAAAAAAAAGCGTCAATGCTTAAAAATTCAAAGTTCAAGACAAATAATGCTTGAAATTCATTTTATAATATAAACAAACCTTTGGGGCCCCATCCCGTTTTTTCATCATCATTTGTGGCTAATGTTGTCTCGTCATACGTTATTACACAATGTTTCTTTTTTTCAGAGGGAATGCTCTTTTCTACTAGTTTAGTAAGATCTTGGTCATCATATTCAAAAAAAACAGGATCCAATTCCTCTATCATTGGCAAAAAAACTGTTTGTCTATATTGTACCACATCCTCTTACTCGTGTCCATCTACATATATATCTTTTCTCCACTCTTTACACTCCCAACCTAATTTTCTAAGCCATTTCCACGCCGTTTTCTTACATATTGTTGTCTTTTTTTCAATGCCTAAGGATGGGAATACTTCATTCTCTACATATTGTTTTAAAACTTTAGGATTCACACTAAATTTGTGACTTCTTAAATATGACATTATCTGTTTAAATATAATTATTCT